TCCATTTTCCGGCATCTTTTTCTTTTTCCTTGTGGAAAAATAACTTTCAAGGTGATCCTTAATTTTTTTTTTTTTTTTTTTTTTTTTTTTTTTTTTTTTGTGAATACATGGAAACGGAGCGTCCAGCGGTTGCATGCTTAGGGCTGGGCGATCAAGAGGCTGCTATTTTTGGATACGAACATGGAAAACAAATCCAAACAGGAGCACTTTGAGGGAAACAGATCTTAGCCGAAGAGAGCGCTGAAAGAAAGGGCCGTCAGAGAACAATGAACGATTTCCCACGGTGAAAGTTACTGATTGATGTTGGGGTGAAACAAAACAGACAAACTGATTTCCTAATGTAATGCAGCCTCAATTTAAACTAGTTTGTCTGATTACACAATCACAACAGAGTGAAACCTAAGGTCGAAATTTGATTTCTATTTACAACATTTCTTTTTTTAATAATGGCACGTCATTCTGTTTGCTGTCACACTTTTGAAGAAAAACAGCAAACAAAAAACAAATGTACTGCTATCTTACAATCTGAGTAGAGATGCACTAATCAGGCTTTTTTATTTTATTTTAAAAAACAACAACTAGAAAACAAGATTATAACCTTTTATGCATCAAAGCACATGTCTTTATATGTATCTACAATTTAATAAACTAAAATGGTAAAAATGGTGAGAGGTGTTAGTTTTAATGCATTTAATGAATTGGTAAGTATACAGTGTTAAACTTGCATGCCACCAGGGCCGGATTTAGAAGAATAAGGGCTCGTGGGCTGAAGCCTGTTTTGGTGCCATAATTCCAGAAAAAATAAATAAAAATATTTTACTCATGCAAATCACATAGCATTAATAGGTAGGCCTGTACATTTGATTGATTGGTTTAAAATGTCCAGTAAATGTCTTCATGTTGGGCTTGAAAATATGATAAACTTAAAATATTTGAGTCAAGTTTAAATTTATAAAAATCCAACACTAAAAAACAAACATCACATGTGAAATAAGCATATGACTTTGTAAAACATACACAGCATACACACTTATTTTTGGGAGCCCCTCTTTCCTCCAAAAATCTTGGTGCCCTGAGCTACTGCCCTTGTAAGCCTTTTCTAAAGTCTGGTTTATCACATCACCAATTCAACTTAATTTCCCTTTGGGATTAATAAATTACATTTGTATTTGAATTCCATTGAAAGACGGTCGACTCTAATCTGTGGCTGCTTGATTGTTTCACCTCTGAACAAATGTACAGCTTGTACAAAGGAGCTAAAATAGATAATTCACTTATTATAAAGGAAAGCATAACATAGCTCAGTATGAATTAATGGCCATTATCTTGCCCTAAGTAGTGCATAACAGGTAAGGCTTTCTGGTGACTTGAATCAGTGAGACTGTGTGTGCGTGTGCGTATTAAAAGAAGACAATGTCCTGGATTCATTGTTTAAAAAAAACAACAAAAAAACAGAGGTGAAACAAGAGACAACTCAGTCAGCTTCTTTGGGAAGAACACTCAAACAGTGAATCTCCCTGCATGACAGTGTTTTTATCTCTCCTGCGAAACAAATGTTTCCACAGATTTAACACAAAAGAAACAGTGGCAGCATTTCCAATTAATACTGCGGCACAGAGTAAGTGTAAGGACAGCCTCCTGTCCCAGTTCCATCCCATTTATTACATATCTGACAGAGCAGAAAGACTCGCTGCACATCTAGGTATCCACTGAGACCGCATCAATAATTTAAAGGTTCAAAGCAGCGGCGGCAGCGCACAGTGCAGGTGCGCGTGCACGTGAACCCGAAGACCGACTGTCAATAAATTCATGTTCTGACGACGTTACACTGTTACATTACTTAGAATTACTTCTTCTTTCTTTCTTTTTTTCCCTTTCGCGTTCCCTGCAGGAATGTTGCGCGCATGTCACACTGGGTTTGCACTGAAGCAGCGCAGGGGTCGTTTCCTGTTTGGCATAATAACAGTCATTAGGCAGCTGACCTCCTGACCTTTTCGCCGAGGAACACGCACACACACTCACACACACTCGCACACACTGGGTTCATGTCAGCTACAATGACAACAGTGTTCCCCGCTTTCTGTACGCCACAAACACTGCTGTGCCACAGGCTCCATTTAAAACTGGGCACATTTCCAAAAAGACGGCTCCACAGCACCACAGTCATAAACTTCTTGAAACAAGAGGTGGAAGTTTCTCTAAAGTTCATATGTTTATTTTAATCATAAAAATTGTACAATTGCCAATAATTACCAATTAATTGCCCATAAATCATATTCACTTTAGCTACATAATTATCATTAAAACGATTAGGCAACTATGGGTTGAACAAATTACAAACTGTAACACTGAGGAATACAAGCGCATTACGCTTGTATTCCTATATATTTTTTTGTAGTTACTTACCATAAAGTAAAGATGAGCATGCTAGTGAAGAAGCTCTGAGACTGTCACGAAGTTACAGCTCTCGGCTACCGTCGGGCCAGCTGAGCATTTTGTTCTGTTTATGTGAAGCTGCACAGTAGTACTAGTGAGAATATGAGAGGACTGGCTGGGAGCAGCCAAAGACACAGGCTGTGTCAAGATAGTTCACCGTTCTGAAACCGCCTGGAATCTCGCACCTGCGCACAACTGCCCAGATCGTTAGCTATGCTAACAGCAACATTACCGCTTTCTGTGAATCACGACTAAACGATAAAATATTGTTAGACCTCAAAAACATTTTGACAGTTTAATCTTAATGTTAGACTTTAGCTCCAGCTAAAGAATACCGAAACCTTTACATTTTTCTAAATTACATTTATCGCAAAGCCAGGTTAAGCGAAGCAGGAAGCGCCGCGCAGAGCCTCCTCTTGTTTGGGACATGTCCTTCTGTGTGTCTTATCCGTCTGTCCTGACGCAGGCTGTGACACACGCAGAGGCGGTAGACACTCATGACTCTCGGTGCTGCCCACAGATTCCTGTCTGTTGTGTTCACACTGGAGCAGTTTGCACCAGTAATGACGAGCTAGTAAATAAAGAACCTTTAACCCTCCAGCTGGTGACTGGGAAAACAGCCCAGGGTTTTTACTCACCTCCTCTGTTTGCTTGCTCCCTTTAATTTAAAGTGAAAAAGAGGCTCACTGATATTTAGAGGATGTTGATAAATTTGTAGTAACGATTGTGAGTGAAATATAGCAATTTAATTAGATTGAGAACAGCGTTTTATCTGTCCAAAAGGATTTTAACGGGATGGTTACTGATATTCTTGGGTGATACACAATAGCTAGAAAGTGTTTCAGGATTTTTTAGTTTTTTTTGGTAAAATTTCAATGACAGCTCTTCAAAATCATAAGTGAAACATAAAAAGTTTTATATTCATCATAACTTTGAACAATATCATTCATGTTTGCAACCACCTATCAGACCCAATAAATTAGATTGACTAAAAAGTCAACTTATTTCAAGAAGTTTATCCCTAATTGAAACATACAAATGGAACCCCATATAATTGCACACAGATGGATGCTTGAAAGCTTTTATTTCTGTTATGATGTTATGCTGTTTTTTACAGCTAAAAAAAAACATTACATTTAAAATTTAAATTGGTCGGATAACATTTAAAATTGATGTAATCCAACCATTAAAACAAATATTTTAAAAACAGAAATGTGGGCTTAACATAAGTTTAATACCTGTTCAAAGGCTGAAATTTTGTATATCATATTCTAGTTTACTGAATATGACTGTATATGCTGTATGTACCCAAAACCCACGGACTGGATATGCTTTTTTTGCATCCACATTTAACTTAATATCCCAAGCAATCTGAGTAACACTGTTGAATCGTTTGTTGAAAAAGGCAAAGAGCTTGACACAACTTCAACTTCTGTCTTTGTCTCAGTGATAATCCACATGAGACAGGACTCTCATGTCATCTTCAATCGACTGATCTATATTTATGCAGCACTTTATCCACCCAAAGTGACCAATGTGCACTAGGTATAAGTTAAACATGGCCAGACAGACAAAAAATAAGAAACTGAAGATCTACTGATAGTTGAGTGGCAAGACGAAAGCCATTGTTAGAAGAAAGCAATAAGATTTTACTTAAATGTTATCATTTATGGGGCTCAGAAAATACGTGAATTATTGGTAAAGAAGTCCAGTTTGTTTATTATTCCCTTAGGGGACATGTCCGAAGCCCTCCAAACCTGTCATGAATCTGGTGATTAAGCACTTGTTTCTGGTGACACACTCTCCCTGGTATTGGTGCTGGTTTTTTGAAACATGATTCCTCTAACGCCGCCGTTCCAAAAACTCCAGGAAGTCTCCTTCGGCGAAGAGGCGCTGCAGATGGAAACACGGATTATGGATGTTGGTGTAAATCCGCAGAATCTTTTTGCTCAAAGAAATCCTATTTTCAGATTTTCGTGTTATGCTTTATAAACAAATGCCAACGTGACTGAAGTTTATTTATGCACATGACAGTGCCAGGGGGAGAAATTTCAGTGCAAACACACACCAAAAAAAAAAAAGAGAAAAAAAGAAAAAACTAGTGAGTGGAGAAAATTAAAGGATTAACATTCCAGTGAATCTGCTTTTAAAGATAATCACAGGCTACTCTGCAGAAAGAAAAATGAAGCTGAGCTCTCGAGAAGACAGACACAGAGTGCATCAGATAAACAGATGGGTAGACAGATGAAGGGAAAGACTAAAACACCAAATGAGCCTGTGGTTTGACCTCCACGTCGATACGCCTCACTCCGACAAGTTGAATAAAAAGAAATTGCTCTGGGCGCCTAAGTATCTGTTAGTCCAAATACTCTGACCAGAGGTTGGACAGACAGCCTGCTGACCTCAGCTCTCCGTGTAAGTGTGTTACAAGAGAGTGACCCACTTTAGATGGGATCACTACAGTGCTCTGCACTCGCTTCGCTCCGCTGTCAGCGACCTGCACGAGGAGTAAACACCAGGGAGAGAGACAGAAGGAGGATCAGTACAGTGAAACAGCACAAACAGGTAGCAGCACGCGGTGGACTTTTAGCAACACCGCAGCTAATCCACGCCGTGCATCTTGGTGCGACTCACTCATAGCACATGATCAAAAGAGTTCTGTTAGGCTTTGAGGCTATTTATAGGACAATTGCACTGCCTGGACCAAAAATACATCTGTGCAATACAGTTGGAGTTTCCTGTTGCCCAAGCAGCCTGTCACACTGTGACTTGCATGTGTCCTAATGTGTCAGGAAGGGGGGTGAAGTGGGGGTGGATCCTTTTTTTAGCCTGCGCTCTTACAGCGCAAAGAGAACAGAAACGAGTCATGGTGGAAAATTAATGGGTTGCTTCAGACTGAATGGAGTTAGACCAGCAGTGGCATATGTACAGTGACTGTTTTGCTTATCAACTATATTAGCGTAACAACGAAAGTGTCAACTGATCCAGACTCCTGACCAGATTTCTTAACATGTCTGTCAGTGATGTCACTGCTGCTTTTTCGTGGTTGTTCGTACATCCTTTAAAAGTCTTAAATTCATGCATCTAAAATTAAGGACTTAAAATATCATAAATTTATTTTAAAAATGGAATATGGTATTAATTACATTAATCACAGGTTGCAGCAAGGCTATTAACCTTGTATGTGTATTTTTTTTTTCTTTTCTCACAAACAGACATCTTCATTGTGTTCTGTGACTGGAGGCAGTTGAGGTTATAAACACAATAAAAAGAAGAATAAATAAGTAAATAAGTAAGTAAATAAATCTTTATTATATCTATGGTAAAGGCTACTGGTAACTAGCTGCTAATACACCCTTGCTAGCTAGCCTATCTGCGTCTGTCATGGGTAATTGCAAATTTATCGGCAATTGACCGGACAACACTACCCAGACTAGGTTAGGTGCATTCTGGGTAAAAAAATAAATAAAATAAAATAAAACTTTTAAGCTTGACACTACGAAGGGTTTTGCTGCGCTAGATTGTAAAACGGCAGCATTTTACAATCTAGCACAATCTGTGCCTTAAATTTCATTCAAGGCACAGTGCAAGTGGCTGTGTCTGTAAGATAATAATTTCAAAAAGAAGTTTCATTCAAGTTGCCACTGAAAGTTGCCAACTTTGACTTGCTAAAACTTGCAGATACCCTGTGTTTCTCAACACTGGCACACACAGAGATCTATTCAGTGCCTATTAATCCTATCTGCAACAAGAGCAAACCACAAGTGGGCTTTCAGTCCACATTACGTAACCTTACATTTAACCTACATTCTGGCTGCTGCTCAGGTTGCTGCCTGCCTGCCTGTTGTAGCCCGATTTCCTCAGTCAAGCTGTGCCAGCGATGGCCCACATACAGCCACGTACTGATAAAGTCTGACAGGGCTTCGGGGCAAGTGAAAGTCTGCCCCAGTTCCGTTCCTGTTTCCTGTGAACGCGACTTCAGGGGTTTACCCTGCTTCCTGGACCACACCACTCGCTCTCAGTTTTCTCTCCAGGAAGCGTCGGGGTTGTTCTGTGATGGAGTCGGGAAAATAAAATTCCCTGTTGCCCCTGACACAACGAAGGGACGGAAAGAAGGAGATTTCTAAAGGCTTCTGATGTCACACTTTAACAGTTGTCACCATGGACACCGAGCAGATATAAACCGAGGGTTTCTATTTTAGAGGGAATGTGATGAATCACCAGCTGGCTTCCATCAGCAGCATTGTGAGCATCAGTACCGTCATCATTTCATCATGGCAACGTGAGTGTAATCCTTTGCATCAGAGGAGAAAAGATGAATCGATGCATCCCTTTTCAAAAGTATTCGTGCCCCTTAAACTTTTCCACATTTTCTCCTGTTACCACAAAGTGCTTAACTGCGAAGTGAAAGAAAAATGTTGAATGATTTTCAAATTTATTTTACAATAAAATCTAAACAGCATGGTGTGCTTTTTGCAACTTTCTTTTGGTGTATGCCTCTATCTCTGCACGTCCGAGGCCTGTATTTTTTATGCTTGGCCCTTCTTCTTTGCAACATAGCTCAAACCCAATCAAACTGGATGGACGGCAGGTTTTACGTCTCACATTTTTTGCACTGAAAATTTTTTATCCTCAGCACTTGAAACTCATAAATGCATCACAGCATCAGGATATAGATTTTCAAGATGCAATGCACTTCTGTCATCCTGACAGCCGGATGATATTCGGCAGTACCGTCAGTGCTGTCTTCTTGTTATAGGTGGACACACTGTTTGTGTACTTGCAGCCATAAATACACCACTGTTTCCAGAGGACAAATGTGACTGTAAACCGACGTTGGTTCCCATCAGCTAGATTTAAAGGTCAGGTCCGAGATCTCTTATTAAAGGGCATGTATTATTCAAAAGACACATTTTACACATTTTTGTACTTCCATTTGGATCGCAACTTCTTAAAAAAAAACACCCGCTTGGTTTTTGGCAATAAGTTAACCTGTTGGTCTCAGGTTGTCATTCACAATGACAGGGGTGTCAAACTCCAGTCCTCAAGGGCCGCTGTCCTGCAGTGTTTAGATGTGCCACAGGTAAAAAACAGTGGAATGAAATGGCTTAATTACCTCCTCCCTGTGTAGATCGGTT